GTTAAATTTCCACAAGGCATTAAGCTTTTAAGCCAAAACACTTGAATCATGTTCCTTTTCGCATCAAAAAAAAAATCCCCAAAGTGTTATAAATAAACGTTTTAATCCTAAAATAACCTAAATACACCGTCAATTGGCAAAAGTCAACTTGCTCAGTAAAAGAAGGGTTAAGGCTGACGTCTCTTCCTGTGACCTGAGCTCTTTTAACACTGACCCCTAGCCGACCTCGGCTAACCCCGACCCCCAATGCTTCTAAAAATATTTCTATTCCTTGTATGTTGGCTTCGTGGGAGAGTATGTGGGGGGTTAAGGGGACTAATGCAGTGAGTTTTTGAATCCCCAGCTAATCTTTTTATGTGTTTTAATTTCATGATATCATACCCCAGATCACCCTTTGTGTGTGTGCTTGCATTACAATAGAGGGAAGAAAGATATACTGTACACACACACACACACACACACACACACACACACACACACACACACACACACACTATTTAGGCATTTCACAGACAGCTGAGCTCCATTGCATCAGGGGATCTCTGCCTCGGAGTACTGGACAATATTAGAGTAATTGAGGAGGAGTGTGTATGCGACAGAGAGATGGTGTCAGTGAGGGAGTATGTTAGTGTGTGTGGAGGCCGGAGACATCAAAGTGGAGAGGTTAGAGGGGTTGGGGGTTGGATTTCTGGGAGGCAGCGTCGGCCTCTCCAGTGTCCTGCATGCTCATACTCTATGTGTCTGGTATGATATACATAATGGCATGGGCATGAGTCAGAGTGTGTTTGCTTGTCTGGATTTTAGCATGTGTATGTACGTGAGTGCATTCCTGCTCAAGGTCCAGTAGATCTGAGCGATGCCCAACAGCAAAACCGTGCTAACCCTTTTCCCAGAATGGCTGTTGCCAGGCAGAGAAATGACCCAACGGGGTGATTTTTAGTAATATGGAAGTCATAGTTTGTAAGTATATTAGTGTTGTGCGTCTTTGTGATGATTTTTTTATTTTAATACATGTACTGTATGCACTCACATGTTTGATCACCATCCTTGAGAAGGACAAACTCTCTAGACTCTTCAGGTGGCAACAAGCCTCAAAATAGGACACATCATCTGCCCACTATGGACCAGCTTGCTGAGGTCGATGCCTTGCTAAACAGCCTTGTGTTAAATATATAGGTAGCATTTTAAATAGCAAGAAAAAGCTCTGGTGTTCTTTTATTTTTATCATTATTTTTACATTTTTTTTCAAACTCTCATGAACATTATTTCTCGATAGGTATGAGGCCTAACGTATCACCTTTTGATGAGTTGTTAAAATATTTGGATGCAGCTTCTGTAATAAGAACATAAATACCACACATCCCCAAAAAATGTCCTTTCCTCAAAACGTTGTATTTCTACAGCATTGGAGAAATTAGAGCGGTTGTGTTTGTCATAACTGAACTTAAAGCGTCTCTTGGAACAAATGTCTGTTTTTAACATATATGTAGCACACACGTATTGTTTTTTATATTTCAAACTGCATTAACAGATTTATTTAGGCCACCTGGAAAATTCCTTTTTTTGCAAATACTTACTAGCTTTTATCTCTGCTTTTGTTCTCCTCCTCCTGATACCTGGCTCTGAAGCGGCAAATAGTTCCACTATGACCCAAAACACAGATCAAATAGTTTGGATTAAATTCTGACTGTAGGAAAAAGAAAATACTTTCTCGTGAACATTATACTGTATCTTGAATATGGACAACATATGCCCCTCATTACAAATTACATTTCTATGCAGCAAAGTCAGACAATTGATGTTGTTATATTGATGAGCCAAACAGCTTTTGACTTCTGACTGTACAGGGTAAAATGTTGACAGAGGATAAATCTTTTTGGAAGTTACTGTAACTTGTTGTAAGGGGAGCTCAATCAGTGCAGCTGCCTCAGCACTGCAGCATGTATACGTTACCTTCATAGCTTAAGCCATTAGCATTTCCTGTACACACACAGTGTAACATGATATAAAAAGCTTTACTAGTGGCAGATGACTCAAATAGCTTTAGTTTTGCTTACTGGCTAAACGGCAAGATCAGTAGAACCGTAGCTTACCAGGAATGAGAACACAATATTGGTATTGGATAACCTTTACTTATGTAATGGAGATGAAATGCAGTTATGGCCTCAATGCCTGAGCTATTAATGCCCTTCTGTCTTTGAGCCTCTTAACTACTGAGATTTAATAAAAGACATTAGGCAAAATGTACAATTCTGTTAAATTATTACATTATTTCCCTTGTAATGTATGCATGCATGTATAACCAGCTAATAACTTAGTCACTATATCACACCTTCCCCTTCCTTTACACTTAAGCCTTTGATGACAAGTGTACATTTTTAATCTCATGGTGTCAATTTTGGATTAATTTTCGTGGGACATCTGTGAAACCTGAGAATCAGAAGCTAGTAGACACATTTGTTTCCTCTTACATAAACAGTCTTAAACATCTCCACACTTTGGGAAATACACTTTTGATTATTATGTTTAAGTGTACATACAGTACAGTATATACGCTACAATACACTAAACTGATATTGGCATTTTAAACAAAAGTATCTCTCATTTTGTCCATGTTTTTGCGTAGAGTTTGAAGATGAGTTTGTTTGTTTGTTTGTTTGTGAGTCTGTAAAGAAGACATCTGCTTTGTGTCCATCAGAAGCAGAACCACATTCCCTGCAGGGTCCTTTGAAGTCAGGCTCTCTTACACACTTATACACACACATATACAAACAGCCTTTTTTTGCTTCATTCGTCACCTCGCATAGCCCCTCGATGTGTGTGTGGAAGTAGAACTTGCTATACAGTCAAAGAGTATATCCTTTCATGTCTTTTAATGTGAGGAAAGAGAAGGTTTCACAGGACAAGAAACTGACCTAAACTGGGTATACAAAGTGATTGGATAAAACAAAACACACTATGTTGGTTGTGTTTTTCTGCTTGAATGAGCTACTCAGTTTAGGATTCTTTATTCTTTCATTGTTGTTGACAACATTTATACAAATTCAAGGGAAAACACATAATAATTCTTATTTATTGTCATGATAAATCATTTAAAAATCTTGAATAAAGGCTCTTGAACCACCACAAAAAGTCAATTGAAGTACTTTAATCTTGGTCTGTATTAAAAAATGTATGTGTTGGCTCGATTGAACATTGAATCAGACAGCAGCCGTTTATTCTTGCCTAGATAAAATGCTTTCATGCCATAATTGCTGTCATAAGCAGGACAGCTTGGGAAGAGACACTGATACCAATATTGTATTGGTTGGCAAGGGCATAGTCGTGTAAGTCCATATTTGCTGTTTTTTTAATGGCTGTTTGAAGCCACTTGGTAATTCTATTGATATTTCTGTTGCGTCATACTTGTTACTGAAATATTCAAGCAATATAAAATAACATATAACCTTATTTTCCCTTAATTTTATTTTTATTTATTTTACATTTATTTAACCAGGATAGGTCTCATTGAGATAAAAAATCTCTTTTTCAAGAGAGTCCTGGTCCAAGAATGGTAACAGCACAGTTTTACAGTTAAAAACAATTAAAAAACACACAATCACAACACAGTCATGCACCAAGTTTAGCCAAAGCATTTACAGACACAGCTTCGAGGTCAAATCCTTTGGGTTTTTATTAGTTACAGGAAAAAACGAAAAATACAGCCCTAATTAACTGATAACCTGCCCATCTAAACAAAGTAAATAACAGAAGCATGAAATCAATCTACGTCCCCGGCCAAGTCTGCTTCTTTGCTTTGTATTAAATGTGGATAAATACACTGTCAATGTGGTAGACTTTATGTCTGTTCGTTCACTGGACACGCACAGTCTCTAGATGCTGATAGAAAAAAAATCTTTTACAAGAAATATGAGTCAGAGAATGTTCTGGATAAGGGAAGTAATAAAAGGCGCTTTGTGTGTAAACGTGTTAAATCACACTTTCTTTTATTTCATAATGTTGTAGAAAGTTTCCCCTTTTAGGAATAAGCTTGTTGCTGGAATGCAGGTCAATACAGTACTGAGAGAGGTGTGTGTGTGTGTGTGTGTGTGTGTGTGTGTGTGTGTGTGTGTGTGTGTGTGTGTGTGTGTGTGTGTGTGTGTGTGTGTGTGTGTTCTTAGTGTCTCAGTGTCTCACCCTTTCTCTCCCTCACACGGCTCCCTCACTCTCTAAACGTGCAGGCTGGTATGTTTCCTTTCCCTCGGGATGGCCCAGATCTGACAACATCTAGGCCTACACCCCATGCAGGAAACCCATCCCACTGAGACAAGTAGCTTACCGTGTGTGTGTGTGTGTGCCACGCTGCTGCCAGCCCTTAATACAAACAGGACGTATGTTAAGGAGTGAACACAGATCCACATGTACTTAATTCGGAATATTTAATTTTACACCATAATCCAGGAGGGTGATGGCGTATATATTTTTCCTTCCTGGGAATATTTTGAAGCTTATTTACACTCAAGCCGTATTTTCTCATTAACCTTGTAATGCGCTTGCCCCCTACTTTGTCACCGGTATCGATTTTGTCCAATATTGCAATATCCACCCCTGCAGAAGACATTAAGGGCCACTTAACATCGCCACAAAATGTTGTCGTAATAGCTTTTCTGAGAAATTCAGGTTCACTTAAGGACAACTCAAATCATTTTGGATAAGTGTTTTTCATTTGTCGGATGGATTTTGTTCCGAGAAGAGTGTGAACCGATGAAGAGGAGGCTTCTCGCTAAGGTCAAAATGTTAAAACTCCTCAGTGACGTCTCTTCTTTCTCTCTTGCCTCCCACTATCCTTTTCTCCATCTCCCCATTATTCTCCTTCTCTTTATACCTACACCGACACTTTCTCTCCAGATCCCTTGCCCGACATTCTTCCTTTCCTTAAGTGTCTGTGGCATTTCTATCTATTCTTTTTCTCTTTTCACGCTTTGAGAGGAAATTGCTTTGAGGGGAAATGGCTTCCGACAATGAGCACAGCAGAGGAGCTGATGAGAATGACCTCTGATTCAGATGTTGTATAACAGTCTGAAAGGTGAAACACAGCAGCGGATGAGCTGATTTCTACCCGAGCGCTCTTGAACCTCTCTTTCGTCTCAGTTATTTTACCTATTATACAAAATCCACTTTTTCATGTCTTTTATACATACAGTACATATGTGTCCTCTCTGTGTAAAGAGATTATGAAAGTTTATTTTCGTCCTGATCCATTTCTATAAAACCTGTCTGAAAATGAGCCGATCAGATTTTGGCCGCTTTATGACGTTATAACGATGTTTTGGCTTGTTTAACCATTAGCCAATCACCAACCAAGGTGACACCCCCCCACCTTATCACCTGAATCTCCTCTCCTATGCACCTTTCACACCAACGCGGTTCCAGGGCCGGTTCGGAGCTGGAGCTTGAAAAGCACCGTTTTTTCTTGTTCACACCGCAGCGGAGCCGCATCTAAGCTCCGGAATCCGGTTCGTTTCAAGCACCAAAAAGTTGTCGGTCTAGAAAGCAAGCACCGCATGCGTCACGCTTAACGTCGGATCTGGGCTGTGTCCAAATAACACGCGACATCCACCAACTTTTGAATGTAGCATGTAACGACTGTAAAGTTGGTAGTAAAGTCGTCCCATTTCTTCCATTTCGTTTCGACAGAGCAAAACGAGTAGCGCTTCAATACAATCAGCCATTGTTGTTGTTTTCGATGTGAGGGGGTTCCGCGCGGTTTGGCTTTATGAAGCAGGCACGCAAACGGTAACGTCATGACTCATACGATGACGCAGCACCAGTCGGGCTCTGAGCGGTGTGAACAGAGCGGGAGCTGAACCAAAGAACCGGTTCCGAATCAGAAAAGCTCTAGCACGGAGCTAGAACGGGAAAAGCCTTGGTGTGAAAGGGGTACTAGATTACCTTTGTGTTCTTTTTAACCAAATATCTCTGAGGGGCGAGGGGAGTGGCTCCTTATTTTCATCTAAAGTAACAGACAGAGAATCAGCACTTTTGAAACAGGGCTGAAACAGAGGGGATTATGGGATGCGACAATGATCTGTTTCGTCTTTCGACCAAACACTTCAGAGACATGATTTGTATATAACTGAGACCTATAATATATTGATGAAAAACAGTATAAAAGGGGAACTTTCAAGGCTGGTAATGTAGGATTGGCTTTACCTCTTCATCCTGTTATAACTGCGGAAATGTATTTATATAAATATAACTTTCATTTAAAGTAGGTGACCAATGTGTCAATGACTTCCTCAACAGGTTAACAACTATGTGCAGGACAGAGAGGAGCTCAACCTGATTCATCCCGCCAAAAAGCTCCTGCTGTCTCTTCCTGGATGTGTGTGCCTCAGGGAGTCTCGCTGGCTATCCAACGCTGTCAGCAGCAGCAGCAGCCCAGCCGGACCGGACCCTCACCCCCTCCTCCATCACTGCTACTATCAGCCTTTCTATCCACATAGGTTTGTAGCCATTTTGGTCTTATTTAGTATTTCTTAATGTAACATCCATTTTGTTGGCCCATCATGTTAAGAAGAAAACCTAAAGAGACTGGAACTGTGTTTGGTATTAACAGTTAAACATTTAGACAATTAATAAAGGTTGAAAGCAGCATTAAGCACTTGACAAATGATACTGTTTCTTATTGCATATGTCATCTGTGTTGGTCAAACGGACTGCACCTTTGGTTAGAGAGGTCACTTAAGAAATGCTCTCTATAAACCAAGGAAAATATATTGAAATCTTTGCACTTGGCACTATAGATCAAACCAAACAATCAACTTGACTGTATCATCTTTAAGGAGGGTGAGCTGATGAATAAATGGGAAGTAGTTCAGTATGAAATGCAAGAGTCTCACTATGCAGCTCTCTTAATGCACAATTAAAGCAACGGGAAGACAAGTGATGTAAGACAATAAGAAGGCTGTCATGCTGCAGTACTCTGCCCTGAATGTCTTCGAATCACAGCCAAAATAAAAGACTCTTCGTTGTTTCCACTTTCTAGGTTTTATCGTGCCTGTGTGCAGAGGACGTCGGCGTGCTCCCTGCTGACCGGAGCCCTGCTGGAGGCCACAGCAGCTCTCGGGTCCCGCTCCTCTCTGCCCTGCCCTTTACCCCAGATCCCCAACTGCCACGCCGTGCTGAAAGGTGGGTGTCATACTTCAGCAGAACATTTCTATATGTGTGTTTAAGTGTGCAAACCAAACCAATGTGTTGATAAGCAAACAGTTTTACATCATACAACGTGTGTTCCAATAAAAGCCCAATTCGTACATACAGTATGAAAACCTGATGACAAGTGAAGCAGAGACTTTGGGGAGAACATCTTTGTGTCTGTTTGATTCTGAGTGAAGAAGATTCTCACTGTTCCCCTGTGGTCCACGGCTCCGATCTTTTCTCTTCCTCTCCGTTCTTTTCCCACACGGCTCTTTACTACCCACAGCGGGTTTTGGGTCGGTCCATCACGTCTGTAGTTGATCCCAGTGGTTGCACTTTCCTTCTTCTTTTCTCTATATTTCCTTTGCTGTCCTTTCTCACTACTTATACCATCCTTTCTCCTTTTCTCTCTCCATCTCTCTCTGCTCCATTGTACAGTTTAGACACACATGCACACACAACGCTAAAGTGGTGTTAGACGCAGAGGAAGAAGAAAAAGCCTCCTGACATCACAGTGTCCACTTAACACTGATGCACACGCCAGGTTATGTCTTAACATCTGAAAAGAGGTGATATGCACTTCAAACGTACTCCTCTCTAAAGCTCAGGAGGGATGTTTAAATTGTCTATTAGTGTTTTTATGTAACAAGCACACGCATGTAGGGCTGATTTTATTGTACGTAAACTACATAGCAGAATCTCTCTGTCCTGGTGAGAAAGACATGAAAAGTAAATGATGAAATGCAATGAGACAATCTAAATAGACACATCCGCATCATGTAAATTGTATCTCACCCTTTCTGTGTCTCCTCTGCCTGACTCTGCACATGACTTCATTCTCCAGCCAATCAGGTTGTCGCTCTGCTCCTCAGCTGGTAACTCTCTGTCCACCTTCTCTACAATCATGTTACGTATGACATACATGTAAGCCGATCCTGACATTAACTACAACTGGCTTTGGTCCAGGGGACAGGCTGTCTCTGACGAGATCAAGGAGACGCACGCAAACACACACACACACACACACACACACACACACACACACACACACACACACACACACACACACACACACACACAGGGACATGATTCTTTGTGTGTGTCTCTCTGTGACTTGCTATATTATTATCAATCATGTTGACAAAAACACGTAATGATTTAACAGACAAGCTAATGGAGTAAAAAAAGAAATATTTTAGACACACACACACACACACACACACACACACACACACACACACACACACACACACACTCATACAGCACATATCTTTACCATGACATCGTGTTCTGTTCTAATAGGTGTTGCGGGGAACAGAATAGAGGCAGACACGCACACACATAGCAGCTTAGAAGTCTTGGCAGGACTCGGACTTCATATGCACACACACTGCGCATGAGCATTACCTAAGACAAGACATATCAACTTGTTTTTAAAGTTATCTGTTTCCCATCTGACATTCACCTCTACCTTTTACAAGCATGGAAACCACCTGTGTGGCTATGCCATTTGAAATATTTGACATTTAGTTTACCAGAAAGCGAATCCATACATGAACATTTTCCTGTAGCAAAGATTTAGATTTGCTTTAAATCTTGAAAAAATTCAACAAGATGAGGCATGTTTTAGTTTAAGACATTGTTTGTAAAGTGAAAATAATTATCTTTTGATTATCCTGGAGTTTTTGGAAGGTATGACATACTGTAAGATTCAAGTGAGATCGTGCTTGTGCAGTTCTTTCTTACCATGTATGGTGTAATTCCTCTATTCAGTCTTTTGACATCATAACCTGCTATTATTCTATGTTAGTGAAAAAGCTCTTTTTAAATCTAACTTGTGTTATTTAGTTTCAAATGGATATGCACAACATAAGATCCATTAAAACCCGCCAGCAGAAATAAGCGTGAATGGACTACGATTCTGTAAGGCGTTTTAAAGATTAACAGACAAAGAGCCTGCGTCTGTGTATCGATCGCACAACCTTGAAAATAAGATGTTCCATTTGCCCCGTTGAATAACAGAACTTTCTTTTCTTTTTAGTTCTTACCAGTGTTTGCTAGCTTTTCAAACTGAATCTCAGGTTCAAGATGTCATATAAAACTGACATGGTTGAAATAGACATTAATAAACAGTGGTAGCAAATGACATGTTTTCATCCAAGGTCTATAGAAAAGCCTTTGCCTGTTCTCTCTATACATTCGCTCTCCTCTTTCTTTTTGCCTTCGAAAAAAGGATGAATAAAACCTATTCATGGTGGAGGTAATTGCGTGTCACAGGTTCAGACGTATTTTCCTTTGAAGGACTTCGTATTGATAAAAAAAATATGTTTGTGCCAGCAGTCGTTTTACATTCAGGATAGTCTTTACATTAATAGAAAATCAAACTGGTTGAAGTGGTTTCCATTGTCATATTCGATTTTCAATAAACTACTGTAGCTAAAATAATTGCATTACCGTAGTTAAGTATGTGTTTCATAATAACACGTTTTTTCACTAATCGTTAGGGCCCAATAAGTCAGACTATGTTATATGGAGGTTGTTTTTATGACAAAACACCTCAATTTGTTCATGTTTTCTTTCCTATGTTCATTGCTTTCCCACCCTGTATCCTCAAGGTGTTTTGGATTCAGTATAGTGGTAGCAACACTTGCACTTGAAGTCACATTTTTACATTTTTTACAAAAAGGCTCCTACATAGATACCATGCCTACCAGGATCATCTCCTTGCCAACCGTGGTATATTCTTAGAGTTTAAAGTGGTGAAGTGTTTAGACGTTCCTTACATGTATCATCCATTGTCACGATCTGAAAGCATTTTGCTGGTTCCTCTGATGTGTGCGAATGACAGTTGGTGTTTTGGTAGCAGAGAAATCATTTGGTTGAAGTAGCAGGTCAAGAGAAATGTTTTGGAGAGATAAATGATGCTTAACAGGTTGAGTTGACACATGTCTGGGTCATTACCACAGGCTTTTGTAATGACTAGCAACACCTATAAAGACAAATTCAGATTGTTAATGGGGCGAGACAAGGGTAGGGTCAAGGTTGTTTTTCTGTGTTAAATGTGGTTGATCTTCAAGGCTTTGAGAGGAATAGTTTTCATTAAAGCATATGTTTGAAAATGCATTTGTTTTAAGTACTTTTAATGTAAACATGGGTTTTGCAATACCCTAGATATCATTATGCTCATCATAATGATGAAGCGTGCCTTTAGGTCTCTGGAGTTTTTGTCATTTTCCAATTTTTGGATGAAATGCCTTCATCTCCCGTTGACCCCTTTACTCTCGAGTACACAGTTTATAATTATTGAAGAAAAACTCTACCAAGGACCACTGGGATTTAGCCATTTTCATGTGAACTGTAAATGGGAGTGGTTTAAGTGCTTTTCTTGACCTCGTTTCCTTCGTAGCACAATTTAGTGAACTGCTAAAGGAAGTAGCAAGCTCAGCAATAGACTGATGTCTTTCTTTTTCCCTCTTTCTTTCTTTCTCTCTCTTCCTCTCGGTCCACATTGTACATTGTGTTGCCTGCTAGCACTGACAGCAGATGTGGTGGGGAATCAAACTGAAGGGAAGTCTCAAGGATTTCAAGAGCACATATTGTTTACATGGCCATAATTGCTAAAAATACTTATCTGAACGCATTAAGGCTGGACTATGACTTTTTTCTTCACATGTGAACACTAGCTAAGATAATATTTTGACCAAGGTAACGGTTGGACAACCTTGATAGCTTTGACAAATAACAGCATGTTTTTGAATGTGGTTATATTGTTACACCTAGGTTGCTCTTTTATTGTAGCAGACTTAGTTTTTTAGACATCTTTTCTAAACAAATTATACATAATAAGTATTTCAGTGAATCTTACTAAGGTAATGTGCCTTATCCAAAATACATATACAGTCTAGTAAAGAGTTTTTGTTAAGTGCCATCCTTAGTTTGCTTTACTTGTTGTTTTAAAACCCAAACACTCAAATTGGCTTAATGTAAAACAGAAAATGCAAAACATCTTCAGATTCAAAACACTGTGACCCAAGAATACATGTAGATTTTTTTTAATTGGATTAAAGTATAATATATTTGGGTGGTTAATTGGTGTTATGATATTTCTGTCAATAGAATAAGCCACTTATTGTTTCAGCTCTTGTGCAGTAACCACAAAAAGAAATTAAATACTTATTCAGAAGTATCATATAAACACTTCAGTTATCAGCACCTTACTGCGACTCATAATAGGAATATTCCTTTCCAAATATACAAATAAAAACAATTTCAATTCAGTGATCCTGTGTATAATAGGATACTATGAGAAAAAAAGATTGGGGGACATTTTTTTGAATCTATTGTTATTGCCTATGTCTCCTGCACTCTGCCCAGTGTGTGTTATCACTGTGTGTGTACATGTAGCTGGATGGTCTGCCTGGTTGAACTGTAGCACATGGCTGTGAACTATGTATGGTGTCAGTGAAGAGGGGGCGGGAGAGAGAGAGAAGGATAGTGAATGCAGTCAAGAGAAAAAGCAAGGACTGACTGCTGATAAGAAAAGGGAAAGAAGCCAGGTGAGTGAAAAATACACGGAGATACAGGGTGAATTTGAGAGTTAGACATGGAGTGAGGGAGAAAGGGAGAGAGGGAGAGAGAGCAGAGGGAGAGAGAGCAGAGGGAGAGAGAGAGAGAGAGCAGCTGCAGGAGAGAAGGCACTGAGGGTGCGAATGTGGACAAGTGTACTCTGGTGGCTCCGGCTCTGTCAGAGTGGACGCAGCAACCATGAAGCACTCTCACAGAGCGGACTACAAGCTGATCAGTGAGTACAGGAAATGTGAGTTACTGTATGGCTGCCTGTGTATTCCCAAAACCTGTAAGAAATTATAATATTTACTGAGTACATATGAAATAGTTCTGTCTGTATTTGTTTCTAAATGTAGTGTCTTTATGTTTGATGATTAAAACTACTGTTTGTTTTCTATTGTGGAGACCACTTAGGTGTTATGCAT